GTGTTTTTCAGTAACTTATCCTAGAAAGCCAAACTGGGGGAGAGGGGAAACAACTTGTAACTGTCAAAGACAACTTTTTGAAAGACTTCATGAATACTCGATGCTTATGTATTTGGGTGGCACAGTCCTCAAGGAAGGAAAAAAAAAAGTTACTACAACAGGACAAAAGTCTCTTTTCCACTCGCTAAAAGCAGGGGAACTGACCAGTTTTTACATTTTATTGTCATTCAGTCGGTCTCCGTTAAACGCTACAATTCTATCCTCTCAGGACAAAGTGTATCTGCGTGAGACACACTGTAACTTCAAGTCCAGTTAAAAAGTACCCAGGTAGTCTCAAAGGAATGTATCTTCCATTTTTCTTCACCAAACAGCCTGCTACAAGTAGAAATTAAGACTGGAGTTCTTCAGACGATATATACAAATTCATACAAACCAGGAACAATTTGCAAGCTCAGTGATATACAACACTATTCAGAAAAAAACAAACTTGTTTTATATACAGACAGACAATCTGCTAAGTGCATTATTTAAATTGCTGCATGCAAATAGGAGAATCTGATTGCTAAGGAACTTAACTATAAAAGTTAAGTTTTCTTAGGCTTCTGCAATTTAACAAGGACTTCTCAAGTATTTGCTGAAAGATATTTGGGTTTTAGAAGCAACAAAATAAAATTTGCAGTGTTAATGCCTTCTTGCTTTGTGGTGTAAGAACATTTCTGGAGATGTAAATACGGTAAAATCCTAATTTAGACAGCCAGTTCACAGGGACTCAACTTAAGCATGACCTTGCTTCTTTTAAGGAAATGAAAGCAGAGTTAGGCCAATGTTCAGTACCTTAAAAAAATTCCATCCTTGCCACACATACTTTGTTTTACAAAATAGCACCACACAAGAAGAGTCACCACAAAAAAAAAAACAACCCCCACACAAACAAAAAACCACACCACAAAAAAAACCCAAACAAACCCAAACCTCAAACATTAGAGTTCTGCATTCATTCAGCAGCTAAGCCTCCCATTCATTTAAAAGACAGTTTTTAGGTACTAAAAACACAGTTGTGACCATTAAGCTCAGTTCATGGAAAAAGGCAGAAACATAAGTTTACTTATTGTCATTAACAAGGCATTGCCTTGTGTTTTTCTTTTGTAAAGTTATCTAACAAAGAGGAATCAATACAATTTAAACACCTTAAAAAACCCACTTCAAATATAAAAAGTGAACAGGCCCACTTTTATGATCTTCTTCTCCGTTTCCAAATACCACCTGGAACACTGTCTATCAAATATTACATACAGTAGAAAAAATGCATTCTTGATTACAAGGAAGATTGAAAGGTGTAAACTATAAAAATGATTGGGAGAAAACTGAAACTATATCACCAACTCTTTTATGACTGCTATCACAGACTAAGCCTGAAAACACAGATAAATACATTTCTACCTTCCCCCTTGTCCCTACCTTCAGAAAAAGCAGGCAAAAGAGTAATTTCTGCCATAGACTATATGAAAGAGGTTTGCATGTGCCAATGACCTCATTTGTGGCAAAACTAGTTGTGTGGCACAGTTTAAATAGTTACTTTGAGCTATATTTAGTTTGCTTCAGAAAAATCAGCTAAGGAACTAATGCTTAAACTGTACTCACAGCCAAGGTGACAACATTTGCCTGACAAATAACCATTAGTAACCTCTTCCTCAGCACTGGAGGATTAGCCCCAGACAAAATCCAACAGACAAGCCTTCCTTCTACAAAGTACATTCTTCTGGTGAACATGAAGCCTTGCAAAAGGGAAATGCTGAGAGACATACACTGTTAATACAGGAAAGTTTCAGACATGGATTTTCATATATTAGGCCTTCTGATTCCTTTATGAAATTTCCATCATCTCCAAAGGGAGCTGTGCATCCCTATCCAGGTAAAAGGATATTACATACCTAAATTAAGAAAACTTTATACAAAGAAGAGTAAATGTTAAGCCATATATTAAACTATGATATTTCCATACCAGGATTCTTTGAGAGCTCAAAGCCAACTGAAAGAAGCCATTTTTAAGTATGCCTCCAGTTTGATTCCTTATTTTTCCACTCTATCGCCTATTATGTCTTTGCATGTATTTTAATGGTCAGGATGAAAGTATTTTGCGTATATACAAACTAATTACATTTAACCCTGTAAAAACTAATCCTAAACTTCATATGTCTACAATTTCTGTATATTTAGGCTACTCATCTTCTACACATGCAAGATACTTTTCAGAACATAAAAAAAAAAATCTTTCATATTTCACAGCTTCCCCAAAGAAGCAAGATAAAGCTGATTATATGTTGGTACACACTTCACTGTACCTTTATAAGATCACTTTTGGATATACAGGTTACATAATAAAAAAAGACAATGGTTGACCTAGGCATTAGTTAAAATAAGTTGTCTTGTGTTTATGTTTGCAAGCTCTAATAACAGCAGAAATGTCAAGAAACATCAAGGGATTCCATGGAAAATTAAATTTCACCAAGTTTTCCCCGTTTGACACCTCCAAAATTAAAAGTTGTTTCTCCTCTAATTCAGCAGCAAAAGTGACAATAATACAAAATAGCAAAATATGGATGTTCCCTCAATACCTTCAGTAAGTGAAACATTTTTATCCAGACAGTGGTCTAGTTTCTCCCAGCCCTTGCATATGCTAACACAGCACTCTGCCACAAAAGAGAATTTATTGTTTTATTACACCTAACCACTGTCATCAGAGCGTAAAGGTCCAGCAACTCTTTCACAGACAAATAGTTTCCCTCTCAAAACTCAAAGGAAGTCTCTTTAAAGGTTTACACAAGGTTTTTGGTTTTTTGTTGTTGTTGTTGTTTTGTTTGTTTGTTTTTAATTGAGTCAAAGAGCCAAATCCTATGAACTACAGAGATATCCAAGCATGGCAGATTTAAATCCAAGTTGACAGCCTTCAGAGAAGAAGGGTACGATCACGTAGCCTACACGCTTCTTTGCACAGTTAATTAAATGTTGTGATACATTAGTGCACCTGTACCACTTTCAATACCCAAGCACACTCAAGCTCTAATTATGAATATGGTTATGCGACAAATGTACTGTAACTAGACTTGAGTTAGAGAGATAGCACATTAAGAATCTACCACCTCAGTTATTGGGTTTTTGTTTTGTTGTTTTTTTAATGCTCTCATGTATGCAAGGCACAGTCAAATGTCAGCTTGACTGCAATGACTGCTCTTTTGAGAAGTTAGTGCCCTAGAACTTATTTTTTGGAGGGTGGGGAAAAAGAGATGATGGCTACTCTCTACACAGAGGCCAACTTTATTCTAAGGTAAACTTCACCACTGGACAGATGGCTGGTACAAGTCCAACACACCATTTATGTTCCAAACAAAAGCTATTTTGAGGCCTCAAGCAGATACTGGCCTCATGGCAAACTCCTGAATAGTGGTAAATTTCAGCTCAGAACCTGAAGTAGACAAGCAAAGCTTGTCAAAAGCTGATTTTGTTAATCTTTTAATAAAAATTAAATTTTACACGGTAACAGAGCTATAAGAGTCACCTTAAAACAGTAGTAGTTGATTTTAACGACACTATAGCACCAGAGGTTAACCTGCGGATTCAGAGAATTTATTATATGCATGTGCCTTTATATATGAGAAGTTAATATTAGCAAACTATTGAAACACTTGCCTTCCAGTGCACATTGCCAAATGCACTATTAGCAAAACTGAACTGACCCCCAGAAGTCACAACATCACTTTTATTTTACTAGTGTCCTTCACAAAACAGACTTCCTTTGCCACTTTTGTGGTATACTAAGATACCTGATCTTTTTCCATTAAAAAAACAACATAGCAATGGCTAGCCAAGATACAAACCCTATTGTTTGCCCAGTGTTTAAGTGGAAAGCATAGCCTAGGTAACTTTGCACATTTGCCAACAGAGAAGAAATACAGCTTTTTATCCACTTCTAATTAGAATGTCAAATACTGGACATACAGAGGAAAAAATGAACAAAAAACCCAACAGAGATGTCAAGAAATAGTTTTAAGTCATGGTATTTGCTTTTAATATTTATACCTGTAGATAGAAGTAGTTGTGATCCAGGAAATGCACTAATGTCTTGAAAACCATACAGATCCAAATCCCACAATGACATTAGCATCCTTGTGGAAGCAAAAGATATTTCACCAATCTGCTGCTGTAACACAGCAGTGCAGTCTTGGAAACTATGCTCCCAAATCACATGCATTTTTAAAATTCTTATTTAGTAAAGGCTGCTACTGGTTCCACTTTGAGTCTTACCTGAGAAAGCAGGGAAATTCAACCCCAGGGCAAAGGTCAAAATTTGTTTGCAAATCCCTAAGGTCTGAATCCTGTAAGTCCTTGTTTCAGCATGTATATAAATGACCTAATTTCAAGCCAGCGAATTCAAGTAAATGACAAAAAGAAGTCACTGACTTGGACACTGGTTTCATCTTTGAAACACTGACCAGACTACTCTTGTTAAAGTCAAAAGAAGTCTGAGAGGCAACTGCTTTCATCTTTCTCATCAGGCTGTATCCATATACAGCACATGCTTGACTCCATTTCTTCCTATATTGTTTCCGCTGTTTGCAAAGTAAGAACTCAATTCTGCTTTTTAGAAAAAAAATCAAAGATATACTAAAAGATTTATGGAAGTGAATTTACAGCAAACACCATCCCCCACCATCCCCAATTTTCAGAATTAATTTAATGGAAGCCAGTTATTAGGATATCAGTTTTATGTTTGAAAATAAAGTGCATAATGACTGTCACTGAGAACTTTGCTGATTTCAAGTAGTATAGTTAGTGTTAGTCCTCAGCAACACCAAAAAAAAAAAACGAATTAAGACATAAATTAGTAACATGAGTCAAAATCTGAAACAGCACACATTAAAAATAAGTTTTGTATAGATGGCAAAAAGAAAAGAGAAAGGGAAGCGAAATGGAATCCCTCGTCCTTTGTGGAACTGGGCCTACTATACAGCTATCCCAACATGCAGTATCTGAAATGAAGAATCACAGTCTGTTTGCTTCCCTTCTACTATTCCTGAATTCAGTTTGCAGCTTTCTGGTGTCTGACTGATTTCACCTCGGGCAGGGGAAGATGTCTCTTGAGGGAGATCTAGAGAGATCGTGTCAAACGAAGAATCTTGGTTTTCTGCTGAAACAGGGATTTGTGGCCAGCTACCCTCTGTTTCCTCATTGCAACTGGTCCCTTCATCAGCCTCTTCCAGTTGCTGAACAGATTTCAAATACTGTTGTATTAGTCTGTTGTCCTGCTCATTACCAGAGCTCTCTGTACTTTGCTCACATTCTCCATGGCCGTCCTCTACATCTGAGGAATATGCTGAAAAATAATTGCCACATTGCTTGACAGTTTCCACTGAAAGAGAGCTCTCAGTTCCTTCCATTAAACTCTTTTCAGAGCTACACAAGTCACCAGCGTGAGTCTGATCAGACATGCAAGAATGAAAACCAGAATCTGGAAACTGCAACAAAGACTTTTCCTGAAGAACATCACTAGCTGGAACTAACCAAGCAGAACTAACATCTGGTGGGGTTTCTTGCTCAAATGGGGATGATTGAATAGGTGGTTCGGATGGACAGAAGGTACTGGCTGAAGGTATCCCAGGTTGCCAAGTGGCACCTAAATTTTGTGTCACTGAAAGCTGCCATTGTTGAAGGGATTTAACCTGAAAAGTATAGAGAGAATTTCATTATGAAATGTGATTAAGAAACTACTTTGATTTATAGAGTATTTCTTACTATCAGCAACAAAGCTCTAATATAAAATTTAAGACAAAGTGAACTAACAAAAGGTTTGCTATACCTTTAGGGAAAATATGTTCTCTCTGCTGTTAAATAATGCCTTTTAAACCTAGATGCCCAACACTGACACGGCACACAAGCCTCCCAATTCAAGTACTTGAAGAAAAAGGAATCTGCTCTTAAAAACAGAAAGGATGGGGAACCTTTATGAACTAACTCATGCTTAAGAAAACAGTCGATCTTATTTTTGGAAGAACAGCTTATTAAAAGAGGTGTTAATAACTTTTCTACTTTAGAAATAAGTTGCTCACAAGCAACATTGATTGACACCATTTTGTTTGCCCTGGGCATCTAGCAGTCACATCATTCTTCACAACTCTGCTACATGTATTTAACTTCCTTTGCATTTTGTCCTTCTCCTCACACCAGGCTATAAATTAGCCTTTTGTAACAAAACCAGTGTTATTGTGTTAATATTTCTGAATGTTATTTTCTCCCAAAATACCAGTATAGCAAACAACATGGCAATTAGATTCTAAAAAGCCATGCAAGTCACCACTGGAAAAAAAATTAACCATATTGACTATCTCTTCAGGATCTACAGTATGAAAAAATGCCTTTCAAATTCATATGTAAGCAGAAAAATAAGAGGACTAAAGCTATTTACCTGGTTCCAAAGAAATCTGACAGCTTCCTCCTGTACAAGCCTCTGAATCTTATCTTCCTCTCTTTCTTTCCTTAGTCTGCAAGAACACACATCCAAATTTATGCAGCTTAAATAAGCAACATTTGGGTAACAAGATCAACAAGAATACACAAAAATGCCTACTTATATAAAAGCACTCTTGAAAGATACAGCAGAGCCTAACATTAAGGCATTACTGTAGTCTGGCTTGCCATCAATATCTAGCTGCTGACTTCAAGTTTCTTTTTCAGAGTTACATTAAGATGTGCTGCAGCACATTTATTGACTGACTAATACGTTAAGTGTCTTTTTGTAAACTGAACCTGAGCTCTTCATTTTAAGTAGATGTGCTTCTTTTTCCCTGCACAAAAAAACCCTAAACAAGCCCAAAATAGTGCATCTTCATTTCAAATTATGCTTTCCCCAACTGAAATCACTTGGATGTAGGTATGATGTGCAAGCATTGGGAGTTTCTAGAGGTTCACTGAAGGCTCAGCTTGATCCACAGAAACTTTGTTGCTTGTGTTAGTAAAGGAAAAGAGCCTGTCAGTCGGACAGTTCCTAGGCTGATCCTGAAAGATATTAACTAAACCTGCAATTTATATCTTACAAATTGAAGAACTTTGATAATGATATCCTCCAAACAGGGATTCATAGGATGAAAAAAACCCAGAACCAAGCACAGAATCACATTTTAAAATTGTATCATGCAAGGTAGAGAGAGAATTCTCCTTTTCACCAGTAACAGAGGAATGACTTTCAATATGGACACTTCATTTACAGACTCTGTAATTGCTAGGAGACAAGTGAAAAAAGTGTCACACTTAGCAGTGTCTATTTTGGTTATAGAGTGAAACACGCAAGTCCTGCTAATAGAGGAACAGAAAAATTTCTTCTAACCCAACTCACTCATAGAAGGCACTTTGAGAGTATGAACAGCTATGTGCATAACTCTGCTTATCTCACAGGAAGCAATGCTCTACTGTATTCACAGTTTCTTAGTACTGATGCTAGGTTCTACAGTGAGTAGCTACATCAAGACCCACTTATACCTGTCCTGAAATATCCTAGAATGATGGTTATTATTCATTCAGATTTGAAAATATACCACATGACCTCAACTTACTTTTCTATTTCAGCTGTTAAGCAAATGATATGCTCCTGCATTCTGCTTAGTCGAATTTCATACCGCACTTCCTTGGCTCGGGGATGGTAGTTCCTTGTGTAAAATCCTCTCCAACAGGCTTGAAGCCTCGTAGCTGCTTTTGTCATTCTTTGCAGTTCATCAGTGCCTTGATCGACAACAGCTAATGAATCAGAACTTTCTCCTGCCATCTGGTCAGGACAGAAAGTTGTAACTCCCGATTCAGCACCTACTGAGGTGCTGGGGTGACTATGCAGAACTTTGTCTTCAGAAGATGCTGAACCGTTGCTAGTATTAGCAGTCAGGTTAGCTGTTACCGGACCAGGAGAAGGCAACACCACACTCTCTTTGATATTCTCTTGAGTTTCCACACTTCCCACCGCACTGTTGGAGTGCTCTCTTGTAACACATGAAACTTCTTGCTTGTTAGCTGTTTCTCTGCTACTAGCATCTCTCACACATTCGATCACTGTATCATCATCTTCTAGGCCCAAACTGATTCCATGCAGCTTCAGGTCTGAAGTAGGAGACACTGGAGACAATCCCGAAGCAACTGGCATGAAAGTAGACTCTGAGGATAAAAGGCTGCTGTTTAGTTTGTCTTCATCTGTCTGTATATCTTCAAGGTATAGCTCCTTCTGAAAACTTCTTTCAAGAAAAGTGTTCTTCACTGCATATGAATGATCATCGTTTGCACTTGGTCCAACCCAAGAATTCTTCTGGATGATAGGTTCTAGACAGGCAAAAAGCCATATTCAAAAGTGTCATAGTATTTCGATAACATATCTTCTTTTAATTCATAGGAATTCACAATTTGCCTTAGATAGTTAGAACCTGGGTGTGTAAGGAGATCTCAAATGCTAGTCATGATAAGCATTATTTCCACATAACAATAAAGAGACTAACTATTTATCACAGTAACATCCACAAACTTTGCAAATACTGGGTACAACAACTTGCAGAAACTGCCTCCCCTTGAAGAATTTACACTTTTATCAGATGGAACAGTCAAAGTAATAACTCTTTAGATTTTTAGATTGTTTTTCACCTAATGATCTTACTGGCATTTCAAGACATGAATAAACATGGAATGTATCTTTAGAAAACAAAGTATAACTTCAGTTGAAAATCTCAAAAAAAAAAAAATCAATAGAATAAAATAATAAACAGGGCCTTGTTCTGAAATACTCTCCACAGTTATCTATGCTTAAAAAAAAATTATTTCCACAGGTTAGATTGCAGGTACAGATTAGCTTCTTACCACTTTCAAGAACTATCTGTGGTGGCTGGGCTGGACTGCTGTGTTCGTAAGTAACTGGCAGTGTTTTGTTGGGAGTAGAAGATGTAGGTGGTCCTTCATTCTGGTTTTGATGCATCAGCTGCCTCTGGTGAAGCCTAAGGACAGAGTGCCAACAGATTTTATATTTCTTTTAAATTTTTTGGTACAGAAGACATCTAAAAGAAACTATCAACTACTTTAAAGGAAACAAATGATCAAACCATTCTAAAACAAGAGGCTAGTTATGCAGATCCCTATACCTACAAGACATTATCAGGACTACTCACAAAGTAGGGGATTGCACAGACTGTTCCTTCTTCCTGCCCCTTTTTCTTTGTTACATGTATAAAAAAATCCAACATGCAATGCTGACTATAGACAGAAAACCATTAAGTATTTCTACACACAAGGAAGGTATGCAGATACTTTAAGTGTCTACTGCAGGATACATTATGCTTGTATGAATAGACGAGTTTCAGGAATGGAGGGAGTGTCTTTTACACTTGAAAAAGACTGAATCAAGGAAAGCGTATCCCAGTTACTAGAGGGACAAAATCCTAATGCAAATCAACAAACATTGCCACAAGCATAAAATCAGTCTTTACAAATTGAGAAAACACAGTTTATTTCAGTCCAGCTAAACTGGATCAAAGATCATAAGGTAGAGGCCAGCAAGTCAAATTGCCTTAAAAATCATGTATGTGTGTGCATATATTTTTTTATATATATATCTATGGGGATTTTGGGGGCTTGGTTTTTTGATGAGGGTTTTTTGTTTTGTGGTTTGTTTTTGTATTGTGGGGTCTTTTGTTTGTTTGGGGTTTAGTTTTTGTTGTTGTTGTTGTTTTGGATTTGGGGTTTGAGGTTTTTTTTTTTGAGAGTTATATTTTGCAAGTCAACTTCCCAAATTTTCCCCAGAAACATCATGTGAATGTCAGAGCACTTAGCTGGAAATTCCAATGTCAATATATTTTTATTGTACCTTCTCCTCTGAAATGGCCGCAACATTTCTATAATTTCCTCCTGGAGATCAATCTACACTGATAAAGCATGCAATAGCTCCTTTCAGATGTTCCCAAGTTTCCAGTCCTTTTGATGAGATGCTGCCCTTCTGCTTATGACAATATTTTTGCTCCCCAAGCCCTCTACCCACACTATGCCATTTAATGTAGCCTGCTCCTTTGAGCTGAGTCTTCTGCTCTGATCCTTCTGCAAAAAAAAAGTTTGTCAATAGGTCCTGGGGAATAGGGATACCTGTATTGTTATGTTTTCTGGCTTTTAATTCCAGTTAGTTCACCTTTTCATGGGAGGAAAGTGCACTGCAGTAACTCTCCTGATCTACTTGCATAGACCTCAGCAAAACTGCTACTGCTGGCAGAACCAGCAGGCTCTATATAGGCCCCTCCTGACAGAGCCAAGGTGCCAGATACAGAGATCAAGTGCATCACTGGGAACAGTGTCCCTCAAAGGACAATCTTAACTTCAAAACCAAGAAAAAACACACTAACTACAAAAAAGCACCTAATACGCCAGTGTACCACAATAGTCTTCATTTACAATTAAAGTTAATCTAAGCTCCTTTTTGAGGTTTTCCTCACTTTCTCTGTGGGGAGAAAAAATAAGTCTCAGTAGGTAATCACAGTCCTAACACAAATCACCTTCAACATCCTACAGAGTACAGACTGAAAAATAAGAGAATTTGCCCCTAGATGGCCCAGCCAGCAGGAAAGCACTCCTGCTGTCTTGCCTCTCATTGCCCTCTAAGACACATCCTGTACTTCCATTACCCTTCCCATCTCCAGCCCTCACTGTTGCTTTGAAATACTTGAAAGGAAGTGCTATTATAGCTAACACATAATAAGACATACAATTATGTTCTCAATTACATTCTCTAACAATAGAGAAACAGGAAGTTCTCACCTTTGCTTGCTCAGTATTTTTTCCAGTTTGGCATCCTCTTCAGTCTGGAGACCGTACATAGATATAAGAGGACAAACAGTAGCCAAGTACTGGACTAGCTGAACGTGCTGCCCAGGTCGGTATGATCTTCCTTTACCTTGACTGTAGAGCCATTCTGCTTTCAAACTGTTAGGAAGGGGGAAAATGGTCACCATTAATGCATGGCACAAAACCCCCAATTCTCCTTCAATTACCTACTAGAAAGTGGGTACCCAAGTGCTAATCTATAAATCTAATCAAAGCTTGGAACATGAGCAGTGCCCAGCAGAACTAGGAATTTCATTACCAGACTAAAGTATTCCTCACATAAACATGGATGAAACAAACAAAAAAACACCCAAACAACTCTGACCAACACTGTGAAGTCTCTGCTTTATCTGTGTGTAGTCTTTGAGCACTGAAAATGCATTTGTGTCAGCAAATTTATCAGCAAAGCTTTCACAGAAACAGAAAAGTTTAGACAAACATGCAGAATAGCCGTAGGGAGAAAAATCTTGCTGAAAGTATTCAACAACTGAAATTTGTTTTTAAATTAAATGCTCTTCAGTCTGAGAACATTTAATATAATATACCTATATATGACAAAGCAGTTAATACAGACAACTCCATTAATCATGGAAAAAAAAAAATCTAGAATTCTTACAGGCAACTTTTTGGGGAAGTCATAGTATGTTATGATGAAACAGAAACAGGACTGGTTTACCTTCGACCAAAAAGGCAGCTTTTTATTCTAGAAACGGGGCAAGAAAACATCGATGTCCTGGAATATGTTAATGTATTTGACTAGAATGTGTTTATACTGGATAATATTTATGTTTGGACTGTTCTGATGTCATGAACTTTAAGACATCTCTACTGTCATACAGATATCATAGGGATATAATGACCATAATGATACAGTAACAAGTGATTTGAACAAAATAATATCTGACTAATTGATACAAAAAATGACAAATGTAGAAATTCACAGGCAAATCAGGCCCTTTATAAAAGGGCACATTTGAGCTTCCCCCGAGACAAAAGCCTTAGCATCTGCTGATTGTCTCATTCTGCAAAGTCAAAGAGGCTATAAGCTTGGAAGGGGTAACAGACCATTGATAAATTGCAACCACAGTCTTGCTTTCTAAAAGTGGTACTGTGTGCTGAGTAACAAAATGAAAGCTTAACTTTATACTTCTTAAATATTTAGCTTGTGATCTTACATAATAATTCCAGTATAACAAATGAAAAATTTAGCAAAAGCAGCAATGTTAATTGGCTTGTATCTCATATGGCCATTAACAGTACAAACAGCATTTCAGATCATTAACACTTCTTCCTTTTTTTATTATACAAAAATGCAATTTCAGCCTAGACAAACTTCATTTAATAATTTTAGAGATTTAATACTATCACATCACCTTTCCTTCTGAGAAATCACGTATCCGTCAAGAACTTTAAGGTTCAGACACCAGCTGACTATATACGGCCTGTAGTCAAAGCCAGGGATAGAAGGTGTGGCCATCACACAGGGATTGTTCATAATTGACAACTGTTCCAATTGACGAAGAGAGGCCAGGAAAGAAACCTTGAGAAAACAAGATATATTTGTTAACAGAACCCATGAAATGCTCACAAGAGTGTACCACATTTCTCCTAGTTACAGCTAGATGTCTCACACAAAAGAACATAATTACAAATACAAGGAAAATCACATTTGCTTTTTTAACATGAGCATCTTCAAAGGACCTTCTATCAACTATTGCCATTTTCCCGTTAATTTTGTAGGTACTACAGCCCTTGAAAAGTACTAGCTTCTCATAAAATCTGGGAATGGAGCTTTATGTATAGAAAGGTATAGTATTTCTATGATTCCAGTTCACTACAACAGGCATTGAGATTCTGACAAAAAAAGTTGGCAAGCCAAAAAGCTAGAGAAACACTGTCCTGTTTTGAAGAGAAACGTATTACCAAAATAAGATTCTTCTTCCAGCATTGAAGTCCAACAGTTTTGGCTGCCACTTACATTTTAAAAAACCCAAACAAAACAATAAAGAAAAAAAAAAAAATCACAGGCAAAATATTTGTTTCTCTTACATGGTGTTTGATAAATAGATAAAATAAGACAGGGGCCCAAAAAATGTTCAGTTTCAACAGCTGCAATTCAAACCTCTGTTCTAAACACAGCAGCTGCAGAAACTCTCTGCAGCAGTTAAGCAGCTCAGCTTTCAAACTTTAGACAATCATGAAAAGCTCTCTATGAATTTAGTCCTCAAAGTATATGCTGACATTCTTGAATAATATAGACACATAAAATAAAAAAGGCAAAGTTTCTTTCAAGGACAAATTTTAAAAGGTATCACCTAGCTTGTGCAGCTAACACAAGTATACTTATTTTGTATGAACTACTAAAAGTTACTTCTATCAACATGTGTGGTTTCAAAGAAGAGAGACCATTTTCAGTTGCATCCTCTAAAGAATTATCCAACTATCTGCTTTCACTCTACCTAAAGACAAGGTGATATATCTTCTATGTCTTACCTCATTTAAGTCTCTGATTTCATTTTCTGCCAAAGAAAAAACAGTCAGATTCTGAGGTAGGCAAACAGGGGCAGTGCGAAGTGAAGTTATAATATTTCCATGCAGCAACAGAGTCTACAAAATAAAAATACAGTGACAAAATATACGTTTGACCAAATCCCCCACGTTTTTTGTTCTGGCAATACCTGCAGAATACACACTAAAGAACTATGAAAATTAAGTCTTTCTGGTATCATCAAAACTATTTTTTTTTATCCCAGCAAGTGAAAACTAATTTTTATATTTTAGAGCAAAATCTTCTCATTTTAAAATGCAGAACTGAAGTATAGTTACAGTTACAAAAAACATATTTGGAAATATTTTTTCTCTACAGTGCTTAACCTGAAAGAGTTAACACTATGTTTTGTCTGGATTCATGACATGAGACAAGAGAACTGAGAGCTATGAACAAGATCTCACCATGTTATCTTTATCAAAATCATTAGAGTGGTTATAGAAAAATCACTGCCTCAGTTCCTGTACCTTGAAAGCAAGGACAAGAATTCTTACATGCTTCCCTCTAGAAAGTAAAGTGATTAATTAAAATACTTTAAGAGCTATTGTTTGAATAATGAATGCTTTAAAAGGCAGCGATTTTCAAAGCTAATTTCTTTATGCAGAGAATGTAACAAAACCAGAGATAAAACAGCATCTACCTTCAGCGATGTAAGTTTGGAGAGATCACCTAATTGAGCTATGTTATTGTCTGACAAATCAAGATGCTGAAGAGAGAGACAGGAATTGATTTGTTCAATGGCCTACAAAAATAAACAAGTAAATTACACACAGTAACTTTTTCAGTCATTAAATAAAACCAGGTATCAATAATTATAAATTATTTTGAAAGCTAAAAAGCACCAGATAAATAACCCAAACCGAAAACAATGTTTTTACAGAGTTTCGTTTTTTAAAGATTATAATTATTTTCCTGTTTTGGGGACTACTTCCCAATTCTCATTACATTTTGATATCAAACCTTTTGGGTTTTTTTCCTAGACAATTCTTGTCCAAAATTTGCCCTCTTCTATTTCATAAACCAATAGACACAAAACTTCAACATTTCTTCCAATCAAAACCAGAAACATATTCAGATTTCTTTGCAGCATTTTCCAAATTTCTGTAACACTAGATTCTGGAAAATGTATAAATACATTAATACTTTACCTTAAGGTTATTTCCTGCCAAGTTCAGCCATTCCAGGTGCACCAAATCCTTCAGCCCTTCCACATACCCAATACTATTATGAGGCAAGTTTAACACTCGGAGCTTAGTCAGTTTTGCTACACCCATCATTCGCACCAAACGATTGCTGGCTACAGAGAGCTGCAGATTGACACACATGAAAGAAACAGTTTTAATTATTAAACTGCACAGACAGAAAAGGCTTTTATTTTTAGTGGTTAAAAATTTAATCCAACAGGAACTTCTTCAATCTACATATTACATTTTCAAGCAAATAATACAGACACAAAAAAGTGCAAGAGCCAGGAAATAAATTACTGATCAAAGAAAGTAGTCTTCACAACTCACTCTGCAAACTTAAGAGGACATCTTCCTCCTAGCAATAGCTAAATAAAGGAGAACGCATGAGGAATTGTGCCATATGAAAATAAAACTTTAAAGTCAGAATTGCTAAATCATGGTGCAAATTGTTGCATCATTCCTGAAGCATGGCAAAGGGCAAAATATATTTCACATGATTCTCAAAAAAGTCCTGTGCTAACAGGAGTGTCAATCACAAACCTTTTAAAGGATAAACCCTGACTAGACATACACTTTAATAACATGACCACCAAGGTGGCAGACTGGTGAAGGTTTGTTGTAGCTACAAACCTCACCTCTCCTATCTCAGTTTAGCTTGTCTCTAGAAGCTATTAGGTGAGTTCAAGTCTATCTGGAGGCAGCTGCAGTGATAACTAACATGGACTTGTACAGCTTTGCCCCAAAGGGATTAACTGATTTTTTGCAAGCACCACGCGCACCCTTAACATTGTTATAACTAATACCCTCATGAAGTTAAAGGGACTGTTACTAGTATTAAAATTAGTGATAAACACTAGCAACATCAGGGCCTAACACAAATCAATAGGTTAACAAGACCACAGAGATCCCTCCCACTTCACTTTTTTTTAATTTGCTATTTCTATTTTAACTGAATCCACATGGCTTTTTTTTTCTTCTTGTAAATTAGAGCTACTCATCTTATTCCTTTGTGAAGAGTTATGAAACCCAAAAGGGGAAGAGAGACCCGTATGTATGTCTGTGTGTTTATCTTTTCTCTGTGTAATTGTAAAACAAAGTTATTTTTAAGGTTACAAATCTCAAGTACTCAAAAGCTAACAAGTATCAAAATTTGGGTTATCAAGTGACTTTTCTAAGTGTTCTTATGATACCACCCCCCATTAGGATTTATTTAGTTCATTTTTAGTTACCTAGGTAACTAGCAAAACAGCCTCCCCCACTATCAACTGAAAACAAAGCTTTCTATTTTAGTTAGCCATCATTTATTTTCCTATGAAGACAGTAACTGCTAACTTACCTCAATTATGTAATATGGCCTTAAAGCAGAAGTATTTTGATTAGAGTCACAGTACCATTATTTCATAGCAAATTCAAGTCAAGTAACACTGACCTGCATCAGATTCCTGCATTTCTCCAAGTGTTCCAGTTTAATTATCTGGTTTTTGTCCAGAATCAGAGTGTGAGTATCAGCATCACAGGGTAAGGTTGGACCCAGTTTTTGCAATCCTTGACCTGACCAGTTGACTACCAAGTCTTAGAAGAAAAAAAAAAGGGGGGGGAAAGCACCCCAAAGTCAACACTTTACATATCAGAACATGCACTGAAAAAGCAAAGTAAGGTAAACAATTTGTTTTATAACGCATGCAGCTAATTTGCAAATACAAATGAACTTTCTTTTCTATGTAAAACTGACACAAATTACTTCAGACCAAACACATTAGAATAACTGATCCAGTTACTGGAAGATACGGATTCCAGTCCCCATCTCAGTACAGAATTCTGGTGCAATTCTGGGAAATCAGTAACAAACCCTCTGAAGTGGGAAGCAGAGTGAAATTTTGGTAGCTAAATTTAAAGGTGGGACGCTCAAGCCCCAAGTTTCAAAACCCCTAAATTTTTTAATTCTTCAAAGTTTTAAACAGCTTGACAACTACCTATCTATGTGTAGGCACTATCTAAATTCCTGCTTCCTAGCACACATCTGTAGGATCATACTCCACACACAACAGCAATCATACCTGTCACTAAAAGAAAAATTTAAAAAGGGAAGGGGTCTGGGAAAAGGCTAAGCAACATCTACCCTTTCATCAATCAGAATGTGGGAAACCTGATGAGAATGCAAACCTATAAACTTCACCTTCCTGGAGAGTTCTATCAAACACCCTGCTAAAATATTTGGAGATCAGGGTACTTTATATGTGAAATGCCCATGTGACAGTCTTCAGCTTGAGGAAAAGAAAAATAACATTAACCTACACCATTTTTTAAAAAAGGCAATCTAGGTACAAACTCAACATGGACATTTCAGCCTGTGAAACCAAACTGACCTCTCTGCTGCCAGAATTTGAGTGCTTAAAATTCAGAGAAGAAACAAACTTAAGATTCAACCCTCCCTCTAAAATTTCCAATCAGATATGTTAAGATATGCTTCCTTTTAGCAGTTTGGCTGCTGCAAAACCTAATCTCAGGTATTTAACTCATTGGGCAGGGAATGCATCTAATTCAAAGCCAAGATTCCACTCCAGGACTTCGCTGGCCAAATCCTTCAGTGCATCTCACCCTAGGATTTTGGTGCTTGTGTCCTCAAATTGTATTGATAGGCTAAACATTACATATTCCAGCAAAGTATCTAGTGAAAAGTCAGAACAAAGAACCTATTCATATAGCCATACCACAGTACAGGTAGCATTTGGGCAGGAGCAAATGGTAAATATGCTAGCATATCATTTAATTAATGGAACACACAATTAAAATATTCTATGCAAAAACTGTTACAATATAAGATTAAGAGGAAGACATTTGCCATCAACAGGGAACTTGAATCACTGGGTATGGGTACCCATGGTGACACCTGCTAAAAATAATTTTCATATATTAAGCCTCTGCTGTGTTTTACATACGCACATCATTCTAGTGCTTGCTCATCTCTTACTATCTGCTCAGTAAATAATGCTACTTTTTTCAGCAGCATGTTCCAGAATAGTGTTCTTATGCTAACATGCTCTATACATTAACATTCATACAGTTTGCAGGCTTTTAGAGTTCAGTTATGCTAAGGATGGACACAAACGTTTTTGGTGTGCCATTCTTTCAACTAGAGAATACATTTTTCTAAGCCATGTCTCTGTTGACATTTATTACATTTCCATTGCTTCTCAAATCCACAGCCACCCCAAAAGCTCTGAAGAGCAGCAAGACCAAGGCAACAGTACCAGAAATAGTCACACACCTGTCTTCGCATGTTTGGGGAGAAGGTACTGCATGTTTCTCACTTAAGTAGCCACCTCTGCAACCATCTGGATGCTTTAACTAAATAAAGAAATTTTGCATCTCCCCGTTTATCCAAGGGCTTGTTACAAAACTTTGCAACTGGCCCGTGCTGACCGAGGAGAGAGGCTAGGATGCACAGTATAGAATTACAAGAGTAATTCTTTTATTCATGCACATGAAGTGTCCCATTCAAATGAAGGCACCCTGAATGTGATTTTACATGTGGTTCTTATATCTTTATAGTGTTCAGGTACAACATGATCTGACTAATCGCTATATAACACACGTTACCATTTGCAGAACTGTATTTCCATGGCATTGTTATCCACCTGCATCTCTATTCATCTAGAAAACCCTGGAGTCAGTCTTGCTATAGTTACTTAGTTATGACACCAGATAATGGGAGGGTTTCACAGAGGTGTTGGAGGGGCTAGGATATTGATGTTATCATCTCAGTTGTTCAGGGGTATCCTTTATTCTTCATGGACAGCTTTAAGATTCTGAGAATCAAAAGACCGTATCAGCATGGGGAGGCGGAACTTTCCTTTTTCTTGTGATGAGCTGGGGTCCTTTAGTTTGCTTACTAAAGTACAGTTATTCAGTATACAACGTAAAGTATATAAATACATATATTAAGAAAGTTAATGCAATTTCACACTATAACGACTAATTAGTATAATAGTTAGGGAATGAGATTGGCTCTTAGTACCCAGGAAAAAAATTTTTTGAACTGCTCATTACTCATTTAGTAGGTATGTACATCAATAGACACAATGAGGTTCCCATCTCAAAGACCCACAATTTTTGTTCAGGCCTCTGCCTGCTCACTGAGGCCTTAAGCCTCCAATGCCAGACTTACACCATCCTGTCAGACACAGCTGCAGGAAGCAAGAAACTGCGCCCTCAGAGGAGGCGCCGACCCCCAAGGTCTCTCTACCCTCCACTGTAGGAAAAAGGGGCCTTATTTCAACTCCTGGCCTACCTCCTGCAAGGATGCGGGCAAATCTCTCCTTAGGGACCCGGGCCTCAGCGGGATGGACGGCTTCTCTCCGCGCCTCCCGCCCATGTCCCGAGCCAAACCCGCT